TTTGAAGGTTTTCCAACCCTATTTGGAAGTTTATTTAATAGCCAAAATATTTATGTTTTGGCTATTAAGCTGCATTCAAGTCTTAGATTCTCCATCTCTACTTTACATCCGTCTCTTTTTCTGCTAATTCCCCCCTCTCTGCTGTTGGAGCATTTTGATACATCAGCTGTGATGATTGATGAATAGATGTCGTAGTTATCTGAACTACTGAGCAAAAATCAAGACCGTTTGAGAGATACGATCAGAGCAAATAGTTTCTCTGTTCTCCAATGCATTTTAAATTTCACAAGTCTCATTTTTCTTTTCCCACAAATAATTACTACGACATCAGTGGCCTAGAATATGTGAGCAGCTAATCCACACAGCGAAGAGTTGAATCGACATTAAAGATGCCGAACTTGTTTGGGAAATATTCAAGAAACATTGGATGGGGAGGGGGGTGGGGGGGAGGGGGGGGGGGGGGGCTTCTTTTAGTTCAAATAAAACAACTGGATCATGTTGATTTGCTCTGGAAGCAAATAGACTCTGACACACACAAACACACACACAGTAACACACACACACACACACACACACACACACACACACACACACACACACACACACACACACACACACACACACACACACACACACACACACATTTTGTGCACACAGTAGCCGTATTCCAGATGTGGGTAGTGTGTGTCGTTCTCCTCCTCTCATCTACTGTCGATCTCCTACGGAGTCAGAGAGGCGGGGTTATAACAGACAAACAGGAAGAGAGCCATCATAAATGTAGATCTCACACACACACACACACACACACACACACACACACACACACACACACACACACACACACACACACACACACACACACACACACACACTTGGCTCTGACTCCAGTCCCATGGTTCTCTCGCCAGCAGTGAGCTCATTAAAATGTGCGAGGCGACCCCTCTTCTCGTCTGCATGCTCTCTCATCCCTCCTCCATCTCTTCCTCTCTACATTTCTTTTTCTGATCTTCGTCTCCCTCAGAAGACGGAAAAAAATAAATCACACGCACTTCCTCTTTATCAGTTATTTGTCTTTGACGTCAGTCCACACCAATTTCTTTATCGGCATGTGATCAGATTAAACTATCAACAACTCAGGCTGCTTTAGATGGTCAGCTGATCGGCATGCATGGAGTATGCTTTAAGTATCTGTGTGCATCTGTGTGTGTGTGTGTGTGTGTGTGTGTGTGTGTGTGTGTGTGTGTGTGTGTGTGTGTGTGTTTGGGGGGAGGGTGGCTCTGCTTTAATGAATGGTTGCCGGGTAGAAAAGGAGGCATGAGGGAGGAATTTGTTAATTATGAATGGAGCACTTCTCTGTGGATGTGAACTACACATAGCGTGTGTGTGTGTGTGTGTGTGTGTGTGTGTGTGTGTGTGTGTGTTTAGAATAGTGAGTGTGTAGGTGTTGTTGTAAAATGTGTGAGAATGTGCTTTATGAGGGGTTTCAGTCAGAGGGGTTGCTGGTTTGAATCTGCCGGGAGTCATGGTGATGAAACTGAGCAGCTGATGTGCAATGAGCAAGGCATTAGAAGAGGATCAGAGCTCGGAGTAACAGAGTTTTCATTTAGATAAAAACAAGTGAGTGTCGCTTCAAGACATCTGACGTCGGAGAGTCTCAGTCAAGCAGTACTCGGTTAGTGTTGCAGTCAAGACCACACTAACCGAGACCAAGACATACCTGAGAACATGAGTCAAGACCAACACCAAGACAAGACGTCATTTCTGTGATTACAAGGAAAACACTTCTTTCTAAAAAAACAACAATTTTCATTCATAATTAGATTTTTTATTTTATTTAATTTTTGAGCTTGTTGTGCCTTTAATGGAGAGATAGGACAGTGGATAGAGTCAGAAATCAGGGAGAGAGAGAGAGAGAGAGAGAGAGTGGGGAATGACATGCAGGGAAGGAGCCACAGGTCGGATTAGAACCCGGGCCGCCCGCTTGGAGGACTATAGCCTCCATACATGGGGCGCGCGCACTAACCACTGCGCCACACTGCGCCACTGCGCCACACTGCGCCACACTGCGCCACACTGCACCACTGCGCCACCATAATTAGATTTTTATCCCCCTGCAACGTTCCCGATGTTACGGTTTAAGTGAGTGACTCGCCCCCAGCACACAAGTCGATGATTTTTCAGTGATATTTATGGTCTTGTCTCGGTCTTGACTCAGTCAATGTCAATGTCTTGTTGTCTCGGTCTCTGGTTATGTCTTGGCTCTGTGCGGTCTTGACTACAGGACTACCTGAAACTACCAAAATCTGGACAGCAGATTTCAGAGTGTCACAGAGTTTTTTGTAGCCAGAGAAGCTTCTATTTAAAATGTTGAACCTTTGGGGCAGCTGTGGTCTAGTGGTTCGTGCACGCAACCCATGTGCGGAGCCATGTGGTCCTCCAGTCGGGCAGCCGGGTTTGGGTCCAGCCTATGGCTCCTTTTCTCCCTGAAGTCCTGTCTAGTCATTATTTTTGTGTTGATAAGCAGCACATGGTTTCAAGACTGGTAGAGTTAAAATCCCTACTTACATGGACTTGGTATAAAAAAGGTCGTCAGCTTAAAATGAGTTGCCCGACTCCTTCCTTTTCCTCAACTCTGTCTTGACTGTAAACATTTATCTGAAGAAGAAGAAGAAGCATCATCTTTATTCCAAAGTTGTTAATATAATTAATTTGAAGAAGTAAACATAGCGTGGTTTTCTTTCAAACGCTGGGTTTCTGCAGATTTGGTTGTAATATTAATCTGTTGCACTTCCTGTGCACCCCGCTGCATTGTGCTGTGTAAGCCTGTCTAAGCCCTTATGATAAACATTGTCTGTGCAGGAAATCCCATTCGGCTGCTGTTTAATCTGAATTTTTCCAGTGTGTACATTTCTGTGGCAGCAGTGATTATGGTATTCTCCGAGCATCGTATACAATATAAGCCTCACGTCTGCTCAGAAGTCTTTAAGCAGGCGGCGTTAGAGAGAAGCTGTGATCATGTTTTCTGTCGCTGGCTCGTCCACCTGTACAGCAGGAGCACGCTCCCAGCAGCGCCTTGTTTGGAAGTCAGCAGAGTCTGACATCACTTAAAACTGACTTAAACTCTGAGGTCAGCTTTTTCCACTGGGACCTACTTTGTCTTAAAATAGACTAATGTTTACAGTTGCAGGTTAGCCGCTCACAAACGGGTCCCTGGGCGGGCTGGCGCTCTCTCAAACACACACTCTCAAGACTTTATTTGGACGAGGCCGGAGCGAGTAGGAGAGGGAGAAGTGTCGACTGTAAATACTGGCTGGATGTAAAAGGATATAAAAGCTGGGGGATTTTTCATCTCTTTGAAGAGTAATATGATTTTAATAGTGTTCACTTTACACAGAAATGTTAATAGCTGTAACGTAAACATTGATCACAGCTTTATTTGGATTCTGTGGTTAAAAAAAGAAGAGACTTGTTGGTAAAAAAAATTCCAATCAGACCCTGTCGTGTCCATAAAAGAAACAAAGAAGAGGAGCCGAGTGCAGATAACTAAACTAAAGATTTATTTTTTGGCCAAACGCAAACGGAAACTTACTTTGTTTAAAGTCCAAAAAAAAGTCCAACAACACATGAACCAAGGAAGGAAGACGTATGAACTGATAGAGAAAGGAAGGAACACTGAGGCCCTTTTCAGAACGACCTACTACATAGGACTATCAAATGTAGTATGCAATATGTAGTTTGTACTGCATACTGCGTTCAACAGTAGTGTGCAGTTATGACCTCCAGTCGGTGGTTAGTCCGCCGTACACCCGGCCCGGCTATAAGCTAGTTTCCGGTCTTGGAATGAGGAAGTAAACAACAGCTCAGCTGACGTCAAACACTGCTACAGTGTAGCGTCCACTTACGGTCTGAAAAAAGCTGACGTGTAATTCATTTCGATTTTTAGGATTTAGAGCACTGGTTCTCAACTGGTGGGTCGGGACCCAAAAGTGTGTCGCGGAGCCGTTGTCTCTGGGTCGGGAAGAAGTGCAAATAAGTCTGAGGACCGTTTTTTTGTTCTCTCACTTGTTTTGTAACGTCTGAGTCCAAATTACAGGATTTTGAACTATTTTAATCTGATTGGTTAAAAAATATGAGAACTGTAGGTCATGATTTCTCATGAAGGAGCTGGTGATGGGTCCTGAGAAAGTCCAGATGAGATCCACTGATTTAGAGAATCCAACAGATATTTGGTGGTATCTTTGGGGTTTGGTATGAAGGTGATTATTTCTTCTGTTACGATGGACGTTGCTGTCTGTCATTGAGATCTCTGACCTGACGCTTTGCATTGTGGGAAACAGTATGCGAGGGAGACTGGTCTGATGCAGACTGGAGATTTTTTCTGAATCAGTACGGCATTCGGGTATTTTGATATATTATGTATGTTGCATTTATTTGCATACTGCATTTTGGCCAAATCAGTTCATACTAATAGTATAGGAGGGTGAATCAAAAACAGCCTGAGACTAAATAGACACAGGAGTAATGAAACACAGGTGAGACAAGTGACACAGGTGAAGACAAGCAGGGCAATCAACATGGAGAGAAACCAGAGAAAGGGAAGTAAGACAAGACAAGAAACACTGGGGACTAGAACTACAAAATAAAACAGGAAACACTTCAGACTGGGCTCAGAAATCAAACTGCACGAGCCACAGGTTAAACGATAGATGATGCAAAAGGCAATAACTATTAGAGCAGACAGGAAACACTGAAGACAAGACGAGGGAAACACTCTCACAGGGAAAAGAGAAACACGAGGATATAAATGACAAAATGAAACAGGAAACACTAAAAACTTAAAGCAGGAACATGAAAAGAAACTCAACAAGAGTAAACCATGACCGCCTCTTCAGTAGCATCTGTCTGTGAATGCATTGAATCTGTTTGTGTGTGTGTGTGTGTGTGTGTGTGTGTGTGTGTGTGTGTGTCACGACATAACCCTGGCTGTTTTGTGTTTCCAGGAGCAACCAGAGACATCGGTTCAGCTCTGACCAGGATGTGCATGAGGCACCGCAGCATCGAGGCCAAACTGCGCCAGTTCACAAAGTAAGACTCATGACCTCCTTTTCTTGACTTCCTGTGTCTGTCCTTCTTGACTTCCTGTGTCTGTCCTTCTTGACTTCCTGTGTCTGTCCTTCTTGACTTCCTGTGTCTGTCCTTCTTCACCTTCTTTCTGCTCACCTCACTCGGTGGTTTATCACACTTATACCCAGAGCTGGTGAACACAGACATGCTCTTTACTCAGGTCAATATATGCATACTTGTTTGGTAAATCTTTTTTGGGAAAGTAGAAGCTTTGATGCAACCTCTTTACTGAAGGAAAAGTGGAAAAGGGAAGGCTATTTGATGTAAAATATCTAAGCCTGTGAAATATATTTCTGTTTTGTGCAAAACAAACTGAACCGTCCATCCATCCGTTATCTATATAATCTATATACTGCTTATTTGAGCCAATCTTAGTAAAGGTGACCAGACGCCAACAAGCCAAATGTGGGACAAAGAGAAAAATTTGTGTGGGACAATGTGGGACATGTTACAGCAATGCCAGGAGGTAGTTTAGATTTAGATTAAATGTCCATGTAGCTCTATGAAATCAACTCTTTATTGGAACCATTCAATTCAAAATATCAACAACAGTGATTTACCACATGTTGATTTGGTTGCACATACGATGCATGTTGAGGACATCTCCACAGAGTCAGGTGCTAGCACAGATGTAATTATGGCCGCTGCTAGATTCCACCAGAAACGTGTTTATTCCGTCGCCTCTCAGCCCAAGCAGCTGTTGGGTTTCACTTTAGTCAATGTGTGTGCTTCCACTGGCTCTATTTTTGCCGGAGCACAGAGCATCAATGTACCACGGAGCAGATCGAGCAAGACAGGAAGTCAGACACAACAACAAAATTAAAACATCTGGTTCATTTTCAGAATAATTTTCGAAGGTTGGGAACAAGACCTCATGAGTGTTTGTTGTTGTTTTTATGAGGATTTTTTCATGTGATTCTGTAATTACTGTGGGAACTCCTTTGTCTTGCGACGTCAGCTGCCCTGCTGTGCTGCGCTCTGAAAACGTAGCCTGTGGGTGTTGACGGACGCACAGAGGCGTACTGTAGCAGAGCTGACATACAACTAAACATTACAGAGAGCTGTCTAACCTCTCTCCATTTCTCAAAAGCATCTCCAATATTGATCCTAGTTTGAGCACGTTTCTGCTCGTGGAGCTTATTAGAAACATGCAGAGGCTTTTTAGGTCGGGTACAATCACTTCTATCTGAACCACTTCTCTTGACCGCTTCCATCGCTGCAACACCTGTTGACCTGATAACTGCTCTCATATCTGACAAATCGAGGGGCGTCCAAAACGGAGATCCAGAGCATTCAGGATCAGAATCTAAAGTTAGAAGGAGGACATACTGGCTGCTGCATTGTTGTCAGAGAAGCCAGCACTTCAACATAGCATGTTTCCTTGAAGGGATACTTCATCCATTTGCATTAATCTTTGTATCATTAGAAACCTGGCAGTATTTTTGAATGGTCGTGCATCCCGCCCTCATTTTGCCCTGCGATGGGAAATCTTTGTTTTTCTTACTGTGAAAAGGAGCTTCCAGTGACGCAAAATGATGATTTTTGCTTCACTGGAGGGGGCTATATTGCTATATTGCTGGCCGCCAGCCTGTCAGCGGGGATGAGGAGCCAGGGCCGGCTCGAGCTGGGGCCGGCTCGAGCTGGGGCGGGCTGGTAGTGTCGGTGCTCTCACTGTTTGCCTATAGACACAGATATAGAGTCTGTTTTCTGACAGGAATTTCCAAGATGCTAATTCCTTCTGGAAGAAATCTTGGAATCAGTTGAGGAAACGGCCGTATGTGTTGAAGGAAATATGTCTGTAAATCGAGGACCTTAGTGGGAGTGGCCTGCGGTGCTGTGCATTCTGGGATTTGGTGTCTCTCATCCACACGAGCTAAAAAGACACTTTCTGCCTTTTCTCGGACAAGAAGGCTCCAACTTCAAAATGTATTTCACATTTCTACATATATGAGATAATGTCAATACAGATTCATGTTTCAACGGGTGAAGTATCCCTTTAATGTCTGATCATTTCACTCACTACACATCTTACATGTTGCTTCTTTAAGGGACAAAAGTAAATGCAGCAAATAAAAGGCACTCAGTAAAAACAGATTGAGATTCCTTAAACTCCACTTTAACAAAGTATCTGTACACATCAGCTCATCAGTGTTTCCCTGCTTTTCGGGTGATAATGGAACAAATGCCTGCTGTGGTTTTCCTCTCAGCACTTTTCTGTCTGTACATATGAATAAATCCATCAACCACTCTGCAAGCCTCACAAAGTCTGTCTTTAACCATTGTTTGACTTTCCTACAGTCTCCACACTCTATAATGACTTTTCCACGGCAAACGCCATTACTATGATGTTGATGATAATGATGATGATGATGATGATGATCTATGAGTATGGTAATTTCAGGGTTCCCTTTGAAGCTTGTGTTTGTCTCTGTTTCAGCGCACATGCTCGTAGATCCCAGACCTTCTATATGCTGTGTTTTCATTTCTATCACGTGTGTGCATGTGTGGATAAAGACCGGGGTGCAGTGTTTCAGATACTAAAATAATGAAGTTGAGCGCCACATGGCGTGAGTTTGCATGATGATCTGATACCAGATATATGTCGCTTCTCTCTTTAGCTGGGCTCTGTGGTGAGAACGAGGAGATCACATGTTTTTAGCTAAAGTAACTTATCTTTTTGAGACTTCACACGATGGATGTTTATGCCTGAATGAAGAAGAGCTGTTGGGGTTTTCCTGCGTCCAAGTTCAGGGGTAGCATCCTTCGAAGGACCACGCCTTCATAGCCTGTTTAGACCACTCAAGCCGAACTGAAATGAGACGGTCTGGTCGACACAGCATTTCCTGTTTGCATCAGCAGCTTACTCTATAGTTACTAAGGGTGGTTTCACATTAGGGACCTGGGCCATAACCATAAACGCTTGACCCCAAAGTCCAATTCATTTGATCAGTGTAAACAAAAACATACACTCAGGTTCTGTACCCGAGCCCACTTGAAGAGGTGGCCTGCAGCATGGGACACTTCACCCGCTGCATGGTAGATGTGGAAGTAGGAAGAGGGTTGTTGGCGTCTCAGAAATAACAGAAACGTCCACAGATAGCAGGATGAACTCTAGCAAGCGAGTGGTTGCCATGGTGGCTTCTACTTCCTTTTTCTTCACAGAGCGATGTTAGCAATGCGAACGCAGACCAGCGGGGGAGGTGGGACCAATCCTGCACGGTACAAAACAATCGTACCTAATGTCAAAACCTGAAAGTGTTGATTCTGTTGCCTAGCAACCTTGACAAATACATTGGAACTAGCTAACGTGACCATAAGCAAAATGATTTATTGATAAGATCATTTAATGTGTCACTGTCTTTTTCTCATTTGTATCGCTAGCTTGTATCGCTAGGGAAACGTAGGACGTATTTGTTTGGCCCACATTTGAAGGAAACTTTCAAATGAGACCGCCCTCAAAACGCTGATGTGATACAATCAGTCGTCAAATTCCCCCTTCTGAAGGATGTAGCCCCCCTGAATTATTGGGCCCAGCTTTAGTGTCTGAGCTGTCTCTGAATGTCTTTAACTTCCTCTTGTGTCTCTGCGTCTCTGCAGCGCCCTGATGGAGAGTCTGATCACCCCTCTTCAGGACAAGATTGAGGACTGGAAGAAAACTGCCAACCAGCTTGATAAAGATCATGCCAAAGGTAAAAAAACACATTGCATGGTTATGCTTCTAATTCATGAAATCAGTGCGTGACAGAATTCCAGCCCCGCATCATTCCTGGTATCTTGTTAGTTCTGTGGCTCAGGGTCAATCATGACAATCAGAGACATGAGATGAATGCAGTGAAAAGCAGATCTCTGAACTCTATATCAGGTCTACTTCCAGGCCAATCAATGAATAGAAAAGCTGAGTTAAATGGACTCCTGTTAGTATAATGGCCTGAGACGGCTTTCACACATGAGGTTGGTCGAGACAAAGAAAATAAAAACAGTTTTTGTTGTTATGTGTAAAAAAAATCAGACAAGAGGCTGCAGGCATGAATTGATATCAAAGTGAATAATTCATTGAACATTGTGCGGATTGTCGTCCTGCATCATCTTTACTTGAACACCCAAACAGAGAGATGTGAAAACTAGACTTTATATGTTTTATTCTGTGTTTCAAACGGCTCACAATAAAGCACTCATGAGAATTATTAACCAAGGTGGTAACTGTTGAGATGTTATAAATAAAGACAAACAGATAAATATGACCAGGGGTGTGTCCAGAGGGGCGGCATGGGCCCCCCTAGAAATCTTATTGGCCACCCCAAAATCCTTGACTATTATTGGCCCTTCGCCTTACCAGAGGCGGGACTTATGTTGAAATCCACTATCCAGACCGTGTTGTAACAGTCAGCTCATAGTTTTCAGTGTGCAGATTTAAATTGTGCCCTCCCCTGCACAAGTCAGAGCCCCAGTTGCCCCCCCCCCCCCCCCCAGTCCAAAAAGTCTGGACACGCCCCTCAAAAACGACTCCAAAGTGCCGTCTTATATCATAATATTACCCTGCTTCGTTTCAGTCGCTTTTAGCTCGTAGTGAACACCTTTGGTTTAATTCCTTTGTTCTTTCCACTCAGAAAGAGAAAATCTTCTTTCATGTGCCGACAGAAAAATGTTGCAGAAGTTAGTAGGAAGTGGTCAGGACCCACCAGTTCTTAATGACCTGCCCGGTTAAATAAAGGTTAAAATAAAATAAAAAGATGTCCACGCTGCACAATTTTGTCATTAAGTAAATCTGATTGGTTGATAAATATCACACATTTGGGCTGCAACTTCTCTTTGAGGATTTGACGATGGGTCCTGAAGGTAGAAAAGTTGAGAACCACTGCACTATATGCCAAGATTATTATAGCTCACAGACTGGATGAGACTTAAACGCGTCATGTTTTTATATTCACCTCCTCCACCGGATGCTGCTCATCTAAGAGTTTGTAAAAAGCTGACTCTCTGTTTTTGCTCCAGTCGCTGTAAAGTCTGATCAGTGCGCTCCTGAGGCGGATCTTTTTGAAGTCAGCATTACAAATGCAGGATGAAATAAAAATGAGGTCACATGGAGGACTTTTACATTCCTGTCACTGAAGCATCTCTCTGTTCGTCCTGTGTGCAGAGTACAAGAGGTCACGCCACGAGATCAAGAAGAAGTCATCTGACACCATCAAGCTGCAGAAGAAGGCTCGTAAAGGTAACGGTCAGCAGACAAGCTCGCTCACTGTAGAGGTCAGATAACAAGGTGCAGGGTCACATCACATAGCACATACAACAGCAGATCTCTGTTTTAAGATCACGTTTTGGAGACATGAAGACAGTTTATATCTCTGTACTCTCTATTATCTCACCGCTGTTGCTAAAATATCAACAAAACTATTCCCTGCTCCAAAAGTGGATCAAATGTTGACTCTTGGTTCGTATGTGATTAAAATGCAAACAACAGAGACTCATTCAACACACACACACACACACACACACACACACACACACACACACAACACACACACACACACACTGAGAGTTGAGTCATTCACTGAGGTCAGAAGCCACACACTTCAAACAGTCTAGGAGGTTTTAAAGAATAGAAAGTGTATACTGCCATCCAGTGGTGAACGATGGTATTGCGGCTCAGTTTTTTCATTTGTCCTGAAACTCTTCACTCAGAGATGTAGCAACCAATAATTAACGCTCTCTTTCTGAAACAGTTGCTATTCAGTTGCCAGGCAGATATAATAAACATGTATAAAACTATACTTTAATCATGTTTTTTATAAATATTTTTTATGTTGAAACTCTTAAGATCATGTTTGCACTTATATATGTGTTTTATGTAAAATATGAATGATTAATGTTAATGTTAGGCATACTTTTTATTCAATATTTTAACTTGAAAACACAGTGTGTGTCAAAAACTGACGGATAATCAGTGCCGTGTAGTCTGATCTGTCACCTCTTTATGTTTCTAGTATTATTATGATTATTTCTGGTGTGTTTTTTTGTTGCCGCTGTGTTATTTTGGCTCTAACGTGTCGCACTGTGGCTGTCTTGTGATGGCTTCCTTGTACTAACCTTAACAATGAGTTCTGCTATTTCTGCTCTCTCCCCTCCCTCTCTCTCTCTCTGTCTTCTCTTTTCTTATTTTGCATCCTTTTTTTGCTGCCCCCCCCTCTCTGCTGCTCTCTCTCTGTCTCCCCTTCGCTGTGGTATTTGCCCCCCTGTTATAGAGATGCAGGGTAAGTATCAGCCTGTCGCTCGCTTGACCTCTGCAGAATCACCTCATTTTTATCCTTCTTATTTGCACCTTTCTGCTGCAGATTCACCAGCATGTATGTAGTGAAGACTCAGCTCTGAGAACATTTGAGTAGTTATCATTAAATCATGAAGGCGTCAGATTGTTTTTTATAAACTCATAGCTACATGAGTAGATAAAGTCGTACAGTTTTGCCTCCAACAATGCATGATGTAATTAGACTTCTTCCTCTTTGACTCCTGCATGACTTGTGGAGCTTCGTCCATTAGCTTTAGAGTCACACTTCAAGCTTTCTTTCAGACTTCCCCTCCTCTCCTCCTCTCTCTGTCATTCTTTCTCCATTGCTGCAGACACACATTATTTGTGTCATATTGAAAATAATAGAATTAAAGGTCACATATCCTCCTCCTCTTCAGTTTAAATAAGTCTCAGAGCTCCTCAAAACATGTGTGTGAAGTTTCTTGTTCTAAATCCACTCTGATCCTATATTTGATCATGTCTACAAACCCCTCTATTTCAGCCCTGCTCAGAACAGGCTGTTTCTGTGTCTGTACCTTTAAATATGTAAATGAGCTGTGTCTGACCACGCCCCCTCTCTGGAAGGGCTTGGGTGTACTCGGGCTTTCTCGCTCCATGTCCTATTGTTTACGGTGAGAAGGCAGACTCAGAGGGCAGAACAAACACCTAGCTGTGGGAGTGTCACCCACCTGGGGGAGGGGCTACTGCCCTTTGTGATGTCATAGAGGGAAAATTGCCAAACGGCTGTTTTTTGCACACATTTTCTGAAAAGTGGAGCAGGCAGAAGACAGAGAGGATAGACTTTCTCACCATTGGGGGTTTGTAGACGGACTAGGACACGTTAGAGTTAGAGAACATGGAGAAGTGGATTTTCAGAATATGGGACCTGTAAAATAAAAAATGTAAGTACCCAATGAAAGAAAGGAAGCAGATTGTTAAACAAAAAGTACTTTTTGTATCTGATTATTTTCATTCATTGGGTACTTACATTTATTTTTAATTTTTATTCATACATAAATCCCTTTTTAGTCTCATTGTCAGGGGATCGTTTCACATATTCTGTCATTTTATTGTACACAAATATTTTTTGGGCGGATGTATGTCAGATGTATGTCGCTCTATAATGACGTACTTCCATGACCTTTGACCCCCGATGAAGGCTCTGATGAGTTGAATCGTTTCGGTCTGCCACACATTTCTAACTTTACCTGTAGCCATGAACTAAAGAAGGCTTTTTATCTTTTGTTGTTTGCCTACTTTACTCTCAGAGGACTTTTTCATTCAAGCGATAAAAACACATCTAGCCTTTTGTTGTCATGAGTGATAATTACAGAAGATAACACGAGCTAATTGACTGTAACTTACCAAAGTACCCGTATCACCGGTGTCACTGTCAGACTGTGCTCTCAGGACAGCAGAGCGTCTCACAGCATGACTCCATCATCCCCTTATGTATGTTCGCGTCCCTCTATATGTCGAGTACAGGACATTAACTTGTTAGTGAATCTGCCGTGTGTTTATCTTATGATAGATAATGTAACACGATGCACTAAGACTCCACAAGAACAAGTTCAGATCTGAAACACTAAACAAGGTGTTTCTTTATCCGTCTACCTTCACAATGTGAACAAGTAAAATCAGGAAGCAGTGCATTATGGGAAGCAGAAACTTGTGGAGCGACATCTCATCAAACAACATATCCACTCCCTCATTCTATCTCCACCTCCATCTTTCTTTCCTCTCCATCCAGCTCCTCTTATGAACCTCTCCTGCACTCTCCTTTTTTTCTTTCTGACCACCTGTGCACCCTCTCCACCTCAGGGCGAGGGGACCTGCAGCCTCAGGTGGACAGCGCCATGCAGGACGTGACCGACATGTGCCTGCTGATGGAGGAGACGGAGAAGCAGGCGGTGCGCCGGGCCCTGGTGGAGGAGAGGGGGCGCTTCTGCACCTTCATCAGCTTCCTGCAGCCTGTGGTGGTGAGGAGGGGGGAGACGGACGGTGTTGACAGTACAGCTCTCCATATTCATGACATGTCTGTGGAGGGCAGAGGGTGCAGTAGATTGTCACCTGACATGGTCTTGATTTGAAAAATGATTTTCTCTTTCTCTGATTCTTTTGAATCTTTCGTTTAGAACGGAGAGATCGCCATGCTGGGAGAGATCACTCACCTCCAGGCCATCATCGACGACCTCACTGTGCTGACAACTGATCCTCACAAACTGCCCCCAGCTAGTGAACAGGTGAAACACACACACACACACACACACACACACACACACACACACACACACACACACACACACACAGGAGCTAAGCAGGGTCGTACCTGGTTAGTACTTGGATGAGAGTTCACCTGGGCATACCTCTCCTTCTCTCTCTCTCTCTCTCTCTCTCAGGTGATAAAGGACCTGAAGGGCTCAGACTACAGCTGGTCCTATCAGACGCCTCCGTCATCCCCCAGCAGCTCCGGCTCTCGCAAGAGCAGCATGTGCAGGTACAAGACCGCAAACACACACATGTACACACAGACACAAACAACAGCGTGTGTTAAAAACTGTGCGAGAATCAGAAAGAGGAGCTCTGGTGTTTATATTTCACTGTGGCTGTCTTTCTGTGTGTGTGTGTGTGTGTGTGTGTGTGTGTGTGTGTGTGTGTGTGTGTGTGTGTCTGTCCATCATTACTCTTCCTGTTATTTCATGCAGCTCAGCCTCCAGACAGAGAAATAAAAAGTAGAGGAGTGATTTCTCTTGAATAAATCAGTTTTTAACGATTGAAATTCGTCATCAATATTTTAAAAACTTGTCTTAACAAATGCACCATCTCTGTTTTCTTAATCTGTGAATGTCTAAAATCTCTAGAAATACAAAATGAAAACATTTAAAGTAGGAATATTTCTGTCATTCTTTGTCTGAAAAAAGAAATGTGTGTGTGTGTGTGTGTGTGTGTGTGTGTGTGAGTGTGTGAGTGAAACAGTCTCTGTCAGTGTTTGCATGTGCTGTTTAAGCAGTCACCCTTCAGGCAAATCTCAAAGCATGCGACCTCACATCCTTCTGCCTGCAGTGTTTACTGAGTGTGTGTTTGTGTGTGTGTGTGTGTGTGTGTGTGTGTGTGTGTGTGTGCGTGTGTGCACTGGATTCTCATAAGCTTACACACTCTTTGTCTACTCCCCCCTCCTCCCCCATTTCTCCCCCTTTTTTTGCCCCTCACCACACACACTCATCCTCCTCTGTGCTCGACTCTTCCTTCACTTGACTCATCTTCCGTTTTGTAACTTGTGTGTTTTGTGTGTTTGTGTATGTGTGTGTGTGTGTGTTTGTGCACTCTTGTTGCTCGCCCTCTTTCTCTCCTGCGGGTGTTTATGTGCTTACCTGGATTTCTTTTCATCTCTCGGTCTCTTTAACACTTTTATCTGTGACTGTCACATCACATATTTGGGGGTTTTTCCTCTAACCGGATGAACAAACACATTCCTGTAAACTACTTCTGAACTTCAACCTATCATAAAACTAATCATAAAAACCATCCAATACATCCTCATGCCATCACGCCATCATCTTCTCCGCTGACCGACGACTCATTCCTGACAAAAATGTGCTCCAAAAACCTCCATGACATCATGTTCTTTCTCCCTAAACGCTGTCCTTACTCCACATCTGCTACCATCACCTTCATCCTCCTCTCACACCCTCCATGACTTCGCTCCCCTCCTCCCCCAACCCTTCATCCCTCCCCCCCTTCCCCTCTGCAGCAGCGTCAACAGCGCCCACAGTAGCGCCTCCCGCTCCTCAGGGGGAGGGGGTAGTGCTGGTTTTGGTGGTGGTGGTGGTGGAGGCTCCCAGCCACACTCACCCACCTCATCTTCCTCCTCCTACGTTCGCTACCGCAGCAGCCTGCCGCACCAGAACCTGCCACCGGGGGGCATCGCCGCTCACCGCCTCAGCAGTGTCTCCTCCCACGATTCAGGCTTCGTGTCCCAGGATGCAAATATCTACTCCAAGCCGCCCTCGCCAATGCCCTCAGACATCACTAGCCAGGTATGAATGCAGACATGGGCACACACACACACACACATTCAAAGTTAGTCGCTGAATCGACACACAATAATTTAACTCTTGATAAAATGTGTAAATAAAGTTTTTTCTGTGATCCTCTGCTGTAGAAGTCCTCCAGCTCAGCGTCGTCAGAGGCTTCAGAAACGTGCCAGTCAGTCAGTGAATGCAGCTCCCCCACCACTGTGAGTAATCTGCTGTACTCAAGACCAGTGTGGCAACAAGATTTGTCAGCTAATAACAGAGACCAATACATGTGCATTAAAAATCTTAATCTTAATCTTAAAGATCTTTTTGAATATTAAATGTTAAAAAAAATGAATACGTTAAAATCCTGTCATCAAACAGAAGGAAGAAACTGAAATGTAAGACTTCAATATCCATAAATGATCATGACACCTTTATACACACACCAATCAGACATCAGTATACACACACTGATTTGCTGTAACGTTATGACCACCTGTTGCAGTTTTGGGCTCGATGCAGCATCATCATCAATCTAGGAAACTATCAAAACATTTTTTATTCCAGATCAGGTCAACACCAAACTTGCAGAATGTAAGACTCTTCTTCTTTCTTTACATGCAGTCTTTTGATTCACGTTTTTAGCACATCTGTTCGCAGAGAGACAGAACAATTCTGATGATCCCCGCAAGGCGATGTAAACATTCATGTCTGATTTAGAAGTATTATTCATCATCCACAAACAGCTTGCATATAAGACTGTCTTCCCCTTCAGGTGATTAAAGCAACAAGTATGTGATTCATCTCTAACTTGAGAGACATACCGTACATTGTCAAAAGAATCCACCATGAAGCTGCTGCAGAATATCACAGAGACTTCTGCCGCTTCAGTTCATCAAAGATTTTGGTTTATGCTTGTAATTATTTTTTATCTGAGTTCATTTAGGTTTCTCACATAACACAGATGCATTAGACAAACATTCAGTTTGATGAAAACTTATACAACAACTTTGTGTTGGTTTCATAGTTTCTGCAACCATGTGAATATTTTCGAGGTCACCTGGACAGAAAAGCGCCGTCTGTGCAGTTGGAAGCCTTTGCATGAAGCGTCCGTCTTTTTTCTCTGTGACAACGGACGCTGTTTATACACACTTAAGTATAAATATTACCTGCATGTGGCTAGGCCCTGTGTTTTTGTATTTTGGCGTTGGAGTTGGAAAATCAGGTGAATTAGAAAGAGAGAGTGGGGAATGACATTCAGGAAAGAAGCCACAGGTCTGTCAGCTTCGAGGACTACAGTCTCTGTACATGGGGCACACAAACTAACCACTAGGCCATTCGCGCCCCAAGCTCTTTGCTTGTGATTACAGTGTGATTTTATTGCTGCCCCTGACCTGCAGGTTGTTCTTGACCTGGACTTCACACAACTCAAAATGTGATCCTTGTGCATTTAATGAAGCTGCTTTAAACCTTTTTACCCTGTTCTTATCCACTTGTTTGTTGATACTGTCACTGCAGCCTCCTTAGTACATCATCTCTCACTTCCAGAGTGTAAGACTGTCCAATCCAGGGCCACATCGTCACTTCAAACTGCTGCACATTGTATACCATCACATCAGAAACCAGCTTATTTCAAAAGTTACCTCTGGCTACATGCGCTCAAGTAATGCAGAGATACTGCAGCAACAGCTGTCAAATCAAATTCATCCATATTGTAGATGCATGCTTGGGGCTTCTTCAACTCATCCCATGACCTTTATCACAACCTCTAACACAAACACATCAAGTAGCTGTGAAACGTCGGCTTTCCAGTCATCACTGACATAGTTGTTAGACTGATTACACTCACTTCCTGTGTAGAGTTCTTTGATGCACTTGCAGCTGTCACTCTACTGTCAGATCTGTTCCTGCTCTTCTGTGTCTGTGTGTTTATTGTAGTCATGTATATATCTGTGTTGCTCTTCTTCCCATGGGGGGGGGGTCACCTCCCCACAGCTGACACCCCTCTCTCTGTTTCTCTGCCTTGGTGTAAATTCTCTAGTCGTTTTTTTCTTCCCTCTGACGACCTGACTGTGTCTCTCATCCTGCAGTTTGGCACGTCCTTCGCTACCTTCCGCCCCGCTCTCTCTCACTCTGGCTCCACACGGCCTCTCTCTGTCATTCTTCCTGTTCCTGCGTCCCCACCCTATAATCGCCCCCCCGGATCCAGCTCCTCCTCTCCCACATCAAAGGTTCCTATCTGGAAGGTTTGTTCTCCATCTGCTTCCATTTTCTTCAGTTGCACCTTTTGCTTCTGTTTCAGTTAAAGCAACAATATGTCACAGCTATAGTAAAGCATAGTGGAACAACTTTCCAACATGGAGAATAGCTTTCTCTCATGTCCACAGCGCTGCCCGATCGTCCGTTTACTGCACTATATAACTTTGGCAGCGTGACCGGGATGCAAGAAGTACATACGACTTTAGAGCACTCGTTCACACGGCGGCCTTCAGTTATAAAAAAAACAGTCAGCCCGTCTCTGCACTGTTTAAAAACAGACGCCTCTGTGTGTGCTGAAATACAGTTGGTACATTTTTTTTTTACTTTACAAATTACAGACATTGTCCACATGCGTTGGATTAAAAACACAGACGTCATCCGCAATTATTACAAATGACCAGAGGTCCCCAAGTAAAACTAAACCTTTGTGAGTAACGCTTAAAGTCTTTCTATGTGATTTTTCACACTTAAATGTAGAAATCAAGTCTATCCTCTGAAAATAACTCTGTGAGTCATGACTGTCTACAATGGTGTAACACCCGAGTCCCACTGTCTGTGATGTTTTCAGAGTTTTCAGAGTCCTATCTTCACTTTGTTTACATCGCCTGGACAGCTGGCTGACTCCTCCCCTCGTGTATAAAAGTTGTTTAATTGAGGGACTAGAGAAAAGAAGAATAACATACTGTACTCACTGCTTAACTGTGTTTCTAGATCACGCTCATTTCAGGTAAATTTACATGCAGTGTGAAGATACGAGCATAATAAAGAGCGCTAGCATTAGCATGCTAACACAACAATGCAGCACGAGTTGTTTTGATTTCATGCTGGTGCTCAAGGGCGACATCTGCTGGATCAAAAAATCACATATAAAGACTTTAAGAGGGGAGTCGTAACAGCAATATGTGGGTCTATCAACAATGCAGTTGCACCCTGAGACCTTCAGTATCGGCGCCAAAGGGCACTATCTAAATTCCTGCATATTGTTGCTTTAAGGCATTAGCTTCATTTTCTTTTACTTTTTGTAATCATGACAACAAACTCATTCATGACCTCATTGCTTTACCTCCTTAAAGTCTTCATCCCCATTTGCTGTGTGTGCATGAATTTGATTTTTCTTTTTTTGGCCTCCCCTGTCTCGCTTTTCCAATCTGCCCGCTGGAGATTGGCCAAAACTAAGCCGAGTGTGGAGAGCTAACCATCAAACTCATCAACAGAAACACGATCAAAACACGGCCCCCTGCCCACTCACACCCACTCACACCCACAAACTTCCACGCACACAAACACAGTCCACCCGTACAGGCCCCCCTCTCTCTGCACTCAGATGAAGGGCTTCAAACTGCCGGATATTGGACAAGTCTCTCGTGCTAATGCTACCCGCTACTCCCCTGTTTATTAACTTGACTCGCCTCTTCAGGATTGGTCCAAAGCAGGTCAGTACGAGCAGCCGGTGGCGGCTGCAGCGGTTCAGAGGAGGAAGGAACCTCTGGACAGACTGAGGGAGAGCGAGGGGTCCCCGAGCGCGCAGGGGTACGCCGGGGCATCATCATCGCACCCCGAGGACCCGCAGAGATCCAGGATGACCCCGGCGAATGTCGTTGCCAAGGTAACACTGGATGATGCTGGCAGTACTATAACTGCATGTGATAATTAGCACTGGTCTTTTTGAATTTGATTAAAAGGGTTTTTTGCACAAGAAGGGGGCAATGATGCGCTGAATTTTTGAATATTCCCTGATTTATAGAGATTAGAGGGACAAACGGGACAGGATGCGGTCTATCTTTTGGGGTGAAGTTTGCGCCCATGCTATAGTGGATTGCACGCTATCTTTCTCTCTCATAGGCACAGGCTTAGTGGCCTCAAAAGCAGCACACTCCTTTTGTAGATCAGGCCTTTTGTGTGTAGATGAAAACAGAGAAACCCAAAGTGAACAGAAAACAAACTAAATTAGCGGTAGGTAATCCCTGAAACACTCTGGCTTTTTCACTTCTTTGTAACAGCAGACAAAAGCAGCAAGTGAATTCAACACTTTGAAAAAACTGTTGACTGAAGCTGGGTAAAACAAAAAATTGTTAATCAGTTTTTGGTTAATTTGTCTTTTTATGTTTCTCTTTGTCCAACTCTTCGGCTAATTCCATCTAAAAAAACAAAATATAATTAGACATTAAAATGATCTCTTACTCTGTGTGTGCACGATAAGAACCAGCAGAAGCTGCAGCAGATGTTAAAGTAGCTTGTTTTTATTTCTGTGAGTAGCATAATTCTTTTTGTTTTAGTAATCTGTGAATCATTATCACGTTCACTGCCCATGCTGAGACTTCTGTGTGCAAGCTCGTAACTAATTCTCCAACAGCCCAAATCCAATTAACAAAAAGACGTCAATAATTCAGCTGTGTCTAATTTAGTTTTGAAACAACTTCCTGCATAAACATCTCTCTCTCTCTCTCTCTCTCTCTCTCTCTCTCTCTCTCTCTCTCTCTCCCGTCCTCAGCACGGAGACGAGGTTTCTCCCGCTGCCAGCGACCTTGGCCATGGTGCTGACCAGAGGACTCAGTATGGAGCAGCAGAAGAGCAACAGAGACTCGCTGCACTACTCCAGCGGCTACAGCACAGAGACCACCACCCCGTCCTGCTCCGAGGACACCATCCCCTCACAAGGTGGAAATCGTATATATATATATATATATATTTCTCTTAAATTTAAACACCTTAATTTAAACCAGGAAATAAACATGTTGAGATTCAAAAAAAAATTTCAAGAGCGTCCTGGCGGCAACACAATTTACAGAGTTTCACACCAACAACGAGCAAACAAATACAATCATCCAGAAACACATCAGGGAGAACATCTACAGCCAGATGTGTCCACCTCCAAGTCATTCAACATCCTCTTAAAAGCGTCCAATGAGAGCAGCTCGTTCAGTCTCAGCTTGTTCCAAGTAAAGCGAGCCGGAAAGCTTAATGCCCTTTTCCTCCTGATTTCAGTTCTGACAGAAAGAGAAGGTCCTGGGTGTTTATGTCACTATACGTTAGCTAGTTGGTAAACATGTTTTCTTCCTCGGGTCGGTTTCGCCCGTTTGTCTTCACTAATCAGTTTGTTTGCCTCAACGTCATCTGTTGTAATTGTTTTGATTGAGAGCCCCCTAGTGGTGGAATTTACAAAGTGTGCATTTAAAATTGATGTAAATTCATGACAGCAATGATCCCTTTTTTTCATGTGGGTCTTGCGGGGGCTCAAATTTTCGTAGAATCAAAGTATCTCCCATTTGAACTTCCCTGTCTCCTCGTCAGGTTCAGATTACGACTGCTACTCTGTGAACGGGGACACCGAGGGACCCGACGGACAGACAGACTTTGACAAGTCCTCCACCATCCCTCGCCACTCTAACATCGCCCAGAACTACCGACGAATGATCCAGACCAAGAGGCCCGCCAGCACAGCCGGGCTACCCAGTGGGGTTCTGGGTCCTGGGGGTCATGTGATACCTGGACAACCGGGTGGAGCAGGCGGAGGAGGAGCAGGCACTCCGGGCACCGCCACCATCCGCAGGACCCCGTCGACTAAACCAGGTGTGAGGCGCACTCTGTCCAACGCGGGGCCCATCCCCATCCGACCACCCATTGTGCCTGTGAAGACCCCCACTGTCCCCGGAGACTCACACTCACCCGGTGCAGGTGGGGGTGGGTACGCAGGTGGAGGGCATGCTGGAGGCGTGCCCGTGCGTGTGGGCAGCGAGGAGTGTGTGTTCTTCACCGGAGTGGACGATACTCAGGGAGCGCTCGATTACGTGAAGGCGTCACCAAAGCGCCTCAGCCTGCCTAACACCGCCTGGGGGTCTGGGGCGGCGTTGGAGGTCTACGCCCAGCAGCACGGGGGTCTCGTTCTGGGAGCCGGCTCGGGTGCCGGATCAGAGGAGGAGCAGATGATCGCGGCCAATCGGCACAGCCTGGTGGAGAAGATCGGCGAGTTGGTAGCCAGCGCACACGCCCTCGGAGAGGGCCAGTTTCCTTTCCCCGCCCTCCCCGACGACCCCGCCCTGCAGCCGACCGGCCCCGCCGACTCTCAGACAGGGACAGAGGGGGCGGACGGGTCCGGCGACATGTTGACCACCATCAGGAGAGGAGTCCGCCTTCGCAAGACCGTCTCGAACGACCGGTCGGCCCCGCGCATCTTGTGATCGGAGGAGAAGCAGGAAGAGGATGAAGTTCGTCAGCCAATAGGGAGGCAGGTGTTGGTGTGGTGCAACCCAACCGCCTAGTACACAAAAAACTTAACCATGTAGGAAGAGCTCTAATATAACAGAAGATGAATGAAAACAAAAACAAACACAAAAACAAGTGTAAAGACATCATTAGAGTAAACGATATATAATATAAAGATAATAACAACGTTAATAATGTTAACCAATGCTGATAATTAAAAAGCTAAATACTGAATATTGACAGGCTCCTAGACAGCCACTATAACTAGTGTGTGTTGGACGCATGTTTGTCTTCTCTACACCTCCACCCAGGGATGGAAAAGACTCGCAAGGAAAAACAGATACGATAAAAAAAAAAGGTGAAAGAAAGAGCGAAAAGACTGGGTTCTGTTTGCCAACCTATACCCTTCCCCTCCAACTAACCCCGACTGTCGAACGCCAGAGGAAGGACAGACTGATGACCGAAGGACCCATGGGCGAGAGAGAAGGGGGGGTCAGAGTGCCATGTGACCGGCTTGGATTGAACCCAGGCTGTCTCAGCAGCGACATACTGTACTTACTAGCCCACTGAACTGAAGCTTTGGTATTAGCACGGGGAGCTAACGGGGAGCTAACGGGCCAGAGGGCTCACTCTGGTTCACTCTAATATAAAAGAGTCTTTAAAAAATACGGTTGGCATTGAACCGTGCTAGTGCCCCTTCCCCTCTCTCTCTCTCTCTCTTTGTGTGTGTAGTGTGTGTCTATAATGAGAATGCATGTAGGAGAACGTGAAAAGAAAGTGTGTGCACATGTGAGTGACTGTGTGTGTGTGTGTGTGTGTGTGTGTGTGTGTGTGTGTGTGTGTGTGTGTGTGTGTGTGTGTGTGCGTGTGTGCGAGGGGGGCGGGTAGAGCTCTGCTGCAGGACAGCTGGTTACCCAATGAGGGCAGGGCTTTTCTCCTGTGTGTGTGTGTGTGTGTGTGTGTGTGTGTGTGTGTGTGTGTGTGTGTGTGTGTGTGTGTGTGTGTGTGTGTGTGTGTGTGTGTGTGTGTGTGTGTGTGTGTGTGTGTGTGTGTATTTTCTTGTTTATATCGTGACGTCATTTACCTTGTTACCACTGTCGGAGAAGTTACAAGAAGTAATCCAGGCGTATAGATATATTCATATATATTTTCTAGAACCAGAGAGAAAATGTTAAATCAGAAATGGAGCAATAAATGTGTTTTATTTTCTTGTTTTTTTTTTGGAGGAGAGCATCAGGGGAGGACTGTATAGGTTCCTCCTGTGTCACATTCAGGCAATCATCAGGAATGCTAAAATTACACATCGACTGTGAATTCAAGACGAGAGACGGGTTTGAGGGGGGGAGGGGAGGGGGGGGCGAGTCTCTCTCTGTCTCTTACTGGAGAAGGAAATGTATGACAGAAATTGTTGAAAAAAAACAAACTTGAAGCACTTTGATAGGTTTTTTGGGAGTATGCACAATAGCCACTAGGTGTCGCTGTAGTCATACCGTATGAGAGAGGGAGGGTGGAAGTGAGAGAGATGGTTGCCATAAGGACTGCGTTCTGAGAAAATCATTTTCATTTGTAGAAGAAGAAGAGGAGAGAAAGGGACTAAGAGGAAGTGAGAAACACTGGTGGAATAGGAGCGATGAATTTAAAAGAGAGATGGGATTAGAAAGTAGATTAGCAAATTATTTGAGTAATATTTGGGGGCGAGGGGACGGGACAATATCTAAATACAAAATCAAAAAGTCACATTAAGATGTATCCGGGTGGAGATACATGACACTGAGGTTTCTGCCTTCACTCCTAAAGAATGGAGATAAATGTTTTGTTGCTTTTCAACACTGATGTGTATATTACATTTAAAAATCCCAACAGTTAAATGTCTTTTGAAGAATAATAGAGCGGGGACTTTGGATCATAAAAGCACCTTTCTACTCTAGGTTACACATCGAACACATGGGACAGAACATTCAATAGATCAGGAACAGTCTCAGAAAACACATCACTGTAGGATTATTAAAAAAACATTATTCAATACGAGCCTGGAGCAAACAGAAGGCTTTTTTAGACTGCAGGAACTTTTTCAATCAATAAAAAGGGGGGAGTGGTTTCAACAGTTCCTAGAACTATTAAAAAAGTTCCTGCGGGCCGAAAACACTTTTTGAATAAATCAAACTGTTGTGTTTTCATACCACGGAAACAACAATTGAATTCCTCTGCACCCAATATTTGGTCATTTCATGCTTCACAAAATTGAATGCAATCTCCTGCACACTTGCTAAAATTGAACTTTTCGGTACCAAAGGTTGCAAAAGTGTTTGTGCAATTTAGACAAGACAAGTGCGATCTCTCTTTGGCTGGGCGGCAGCTTTGGTTAAATAATACGACTGAAGATTCTGTACTTACTTTAAAGCTTAAATACTTCTTGATGCTGTTGTCGATTAAGACAATGGAGCTTTTCATCGCTGCAGAAAAGTATCCCGCCTCTGCTTAGAGACGAAACATTGCTGTGTGACGTTTAGTAAAGGCCCTGGAGTGGTTCAGCTCAGAGCCCGGATCAGCTCAGGACGAAGGCTGCATGAGAGGATTATTTAAAGTGTGAGGGAAGATGAGTCCTGTTGGATGTGCTTGCCGACGACAGAGACGCATATGTGTTTTTAAGTTAAGACAGAGAGAGAGAGAGAGAGAGAGAGAGAGAGAGAGAGTAAAAAAGTGTGTGTCAAGCATTTCACTGCCTGTTGGAACAATATTGACTCCCATGTGCTGCACTTGTAAATGAGAATCAGGCGCACAGATTTGGTACAAACGTTTGTTAGAGAATTACATGGAATATTTGTTTTCGATGATTTTATTTTTCAGTTTGCAGTCTGCTGTTTAATATTTAGTCTTACTTTGAATTAATGTAAAAAAAAAAAAAAAAAAGAAGAAAAACTCCTGTGGAAACACACAAACTACTAAGCTGTGTAACATATGGATGTAGGATGTGTGGGCTGAGAGTGCGTGTGTCCTCGTCTGGATGTCGACCTTTAGGATAGTGAACTCTTCATCACGCTCTCTAGCAGTGACCCGAGCATAGCCATCGCTTTCCAACATGCTCGTTCTGTTTGACTCATTTCTTTGTGTCTCTTGAATGCACCACTGTTTTTAAACTTAATTTGGGCTGTTTGAGAGGAGGATGATGATTTGATTTTGAGACATAAGAGAGGAGAAGGTTTTTTAAAAACACTCTGCCTGTGCACTTTGATTTTTTTCTTTTTTACTTTAAAACTGTGCTTCGGCAAATGGATGTTTGTTTCTTTCTGCGGGGGGACCCTCTGTATGTGTGTGTTTGCAACATGTGGATGCAGAGTGATGCATCAGCTGATCATGGCAGGGTGGAAGGGGAGAGCAGGCGGGCGTGGACTCCATTCCTCCACACTGCAAAAAAAAACAAACTAAAATCTTAGCGAGTTTTTAATATAGCGATTAATGTAGAGCTCAACTCAACAGTATGGTTCCTGAAGTCAAAATCCCGTTCATTTTCTCCACGGCCAATTTGATTATTATCCATGATGTCATAACCATTCAAGGTAGATTGACCACGAGCTACCTGAGATTGAAACGATGGTTTATGCTCCTTTAGGAGACCGTATGATATCATCCTCATTTTAAAAACAACATGGTTTAAAAGAACTACACTACCCACAATCCTAGAGTGTCACAGCATCGACTCTGAGTGGTTGGTTGAGCTCACTGTTACCATGGCAATGTTTCCCGCCCCTCTGCACCTCATGCTAACAGATAGTTTTTGCTAGCAGGCTGGCTAGTTAGTTAGCTAACAGTAAATGTACTAATAACCTCGTCATGCTGCAGTGAATGTAGTTTATATATTCAACAACACAAACTACAACACTTGTATTCACAGTTTAAACACGATAACAACGACTAAAGTTACTTTTAAGTAGAAGCGGTATTATTCGCAATGGATTGTGGGATGTGTAGTTCCTTGACTCCTGACGAAAATGATGTACACAGTCTTACACCTTTGACTTTTTCTCTGTTTTTTTTCGATGCCGTTTTCGGCCATTGACTTTGTTAAATGTCAATGGAGGACTTGAACAGGGACTTTTATTTCCGGAGCAAGAGCCGCAAAAAAAAGTGGGCAGTCACTGTTGAGCTTTATTAGCCACAGTCATCTTACAAGTCCTGATAAACATGAACATATTGCAAGCAACAAGTTGAATTTGTTTTTCTGCAGTAAGCACACTTTCCTTAAGTTTTGTAAAAAGAGATCTTGCAAGATTTATTTGAATACTTTTTAAATGTTGAAATAAGATGTTTATCTGGACTTGTCAGGTAAATGTGGCTTATATTAAGTGCAATGAGATATTTTACAGAAATAAGACAAAAGCTAAGATTTCAGTTTTTTGCGGCGCAAGAAAAGAAGAACCACATTTCCTGTGACAAACTGCTGATGTGAGGAGTGTAACCTGTCGAGTCACACTGTGTGTAAAAATGTCAGACTGTCTGCTGAATGTACTGCAAACTGAAGGGAGCGTCAACCTGAACATGCTTGACTTGAACACTTGCAACGTGAGATCTTTGATTTGTGCATCAGTTTAAAACAGAAGGAAAGCAATACAGAGACAGAGTTCATGATCGTACTTTCACAACCATGTTCCTGCGGGGGTTCGGCAAAGGAAAATACAACTGTTTTCTTCCCACTCTGGAGTACGCGTGGCCCTCGTTTAAAAAGCTGATCCACTTTGTTTTGATTTGAAGCTTATAGACCCTTTACTATGTGTGCAATCAGAGCCAATTATTACTCGTCTGAATGTGTATGTGCTAAATGTTTATTACTTCTGGTACATGCTGGAGCAATTTAACTCACTTCTGGTTATCTACGGGAAGTTATCTCTTTATTAAAAAGCTTCAAAATGCCATGCAAAACACAGTGGTCGTTTTAAATGATGGACAGCAACTCAGGATAAGGCGAGGATTCTGAGATCAACACATATCAAGATCCACGCACCCTGTGATAGGATGAGTGGAAGTAACACCCCTGGTATTTACCTTTTCCAATGCCCCAGGTATCAGCACAAAAATGTTTATCTAGCGAAACAATAATGTCTTTAATAACACGCTGAATTAACTGTGTACTGAACTAACTGTCTGAACAAGCTGGAATAACCATTCTGCTGCAGATGTGTCGATATACCTGTGAGTGTATGTGTATGTGTGTAGAAGTACGTCTGCAGGCACGGAGGCAAAGCAGGAGCTGCGGTGGAAAACAGCACAAACGCAGATTTACATACAAACACACACAAATGCATATACTAAATAGGATACACACGCTTACACGAGAAAATGTCACCCCTGACTACATCGACAACACACACAGTGTTAGACGTGATGTTTTAAAGGAGCAATATGTAACTCTGACACCTAGTGTTTGAAATGGGTACTGCAGTCTACATTCAAAACATTGGCTACAGCCCCTCCCCCTCCTCTCTAGGGTGTCATGTTGCAGACACTGAAGCTGCAGTGTTTAGCTCTGCAGCTTTTTTTTATGGGAGGACAACATCAGTAAAAACTCAACAGCACTACGGTCTTCAATTTTTTTTAAGGTGAACCCAAACTGCCAATTTAACACGGTAATTGGATGTTTTAAGATACACACCTTTGACAAACTACTTCTGTGTTTGGAAAATGCAAAGAAATCAGAATTCACACATGAGCCGCTCTCTTCTTTTTTTTTTTCCTGATCGTAATTCCTTCCTGTCTCCTGATCGGCCCAGCACACCCACAGCCGCTGTCCGACTGACGAGTTAGAAACAACACTCGTCTCGATGAGAGTCCCATCAGCTGAACAGCAGTCCCCGCTCCCATCAAAGCTAAAGAAAAATAACTTCTGATGACGTCTTCATTTCCACCACAGTCCACAGCGTCTTCACTCTGATTCTCTGTCTGTCCGTCTCTCCCCCCCCCCACCTCCTCTCTGTTTGTGTGGCGATGTTGGCGAGTGTG